TAAAGTTTGTTTATTCTATTTTGTGGGAATTATCCCTGACGAAGTTTATAAAGTAAAATGTTTTAGAGTTAACGTAAAAGAAATTGTAAAAAAATAAGCCTTTCTTTGACGCTCAAGTACCTCACGGAAAATGATGGCTCTGATATGTTATAGTGCATATACAGGTTGTCATGAATATACGGCCTCACTCGTCCCGAGAAGGTAGAGCTGACTAAACTGAGTAGAAAAGTTCTCTACTATTTTGCAATGCTCGCAATAATTAACGAGATATTAACGTTTAAAGAGGTATGACTCATCGAGTGCACGGGCCGCGAGGAGCGGGGATGGCCTAGAAGGCGTGTCCCGCTCACCGCCGCGAGCCTCTAAGCTCGAACGGCGCAGTGCGCCTGCCATACCTTCGGCAATAGTAGGTTGGGTGGATGCGCGTATTCGGCTATCTTTAAACGTTAATATCTCATTAATTATTGCGAGCATTGCAAAATAGTAGAGGACTTTTCTATTTAGTTTAGTCCGCTTTATCTGCTCGAGACGAGTGGGGCGTATATTCATGACACCCTGAATATGTGCAGGGAAGTTTGACCTTGCGCAAGCAATATTTAGAATATGAAACGCATCTTGATTTGCTCTAAAGTACAAGAAACTATGTAAAATGGAAACTTAAAAATGATTATTTCTCAAGATCAAATCATTTTTGAAAAAAAACTATTTCAAGATGTTATGAGTCTTGGATTGAAGAATAAAACGACACCCTTTGAAATCAATGATGGACCTAAAAACCCATCTTATTGACCCTTCTCCTTTATTATGTCAACATTATTGAGTATGGAAGAGCTCAATCATGCACGATCATTAAACATTACGTACGACACGTTAAATATTAAATTCGGTGAGTCGGACACTTCAAGGATTCTTATAAAAGAAAATTAGATTTTATTGAGTTGTTTTCAATAACGAACATCAACATACAAAAAAATGAATTCTTAAAGAAATACATAAATGCTTTAATCCAAAAATATTTTATACTTAGAACAGCGTCAAGAATAAACAATTTTCAATTAAGAATAAATTATTTGTCAAATGAAATAAATTTTATTCTTAATTCGAAATAAATTTCATTTGTATAAAAGAATAAAGCACTCGTTCTATAAAATATGCTAATATCTAAATATGCTTGTATTAGCATTATTTTTTCTTTAATGATCCCTTTTGTCAACTTATTTCAAACTCCAGTATGCTTCCAGTAATAGCAAGATGATAGAAACCAATATTGCAGTAAGTGACAATAGTTTTGTAAACGAAGTTTACAAGCCATATTTATAGAGCATTCTTCCTAATGTGCACGAGTTCCTAAGGAAAAACTGATTCAAACTTGGATTATATCCTCTATTAATGTAGCAAATGAAATGCTAAGACCATTTTATCAATACCTCCGTTATCCATATTGCAAATAAAGATGCAAACAGACAGTCAACCTCAATGCTGGCTGCACAGGCGGATCTGCGGCGAAAATCCGCCCGCATGTATAGGCAACCGTTTTTTCGTCGCCTCGCAGTAACAAAGCCGGCTGTTCGCATATCCCTATTTACAACATAACTGACAAAAACATTAGGACGAACTGAATATTTCATCCATTTTTAAAGATTGAATCACACTTAGAAGTATATTTCACGAATACAACAGTTTACTCACGAAACCATCGTCAATCGTCATTCACTGCACTTCCGAAATCTTGATGTTACTGAGAGGCCCTTATACATAGTTGTCGCCTGCTGGTGAATTTTCAAATTTATAATTCTTAATCCAAGAATAAATAGTTTTTAAATAATGCGATTGAGTTTGTTAAAACCATATAATGATTTTAGAAATAAGAATATAATTTTAAAAATAAAATACACTTTGCACAAATCTATTTATTATTGATGCTAGTGAACATTTGTAATTAAAGAGAACATTTTATACATAAAAGAAAGTAAATAGCAAAAGTAAAAATATACGTGAATCAGGAATTCATTTTTTTTGTGAAAGTATAATATACCGCACGGATAAGAGTGGATTTCAGCACTGTGATCTGATGATCATTATCTCAGCGGCCGCCGCGGTTGAAAATACAATACTACTGTAGTAAGAATCAAGCAGATCGCGGTGCCTGTAATCTTAAATTTATTGTCACATTTGTCGCGGATTGCCGATCTGCCATCACTCCTGATTGGTCGAAATCATAGATGAATAGGAGGAGGATCGGGCTACGTGAATTTTTGAGAACTCAGTCTTTCGAGAGAACGCAAAGAAGCAGCTTGTCATCGCGACGCGAGTTCTGTACTTTGAGGTTCAGTCTGTTCTTCGTACTTTATACAAACATTTCAACATTGCGACTCAGGGTAATAACTCTTAAACGTTGTCGCAAATTTTCATAAACACAGGGCACTTTAGCACCTAGGCGTATTTACGAAAAATGTCCGATCAGCACGATCCAGGACGCTCCCAGGCGCAAGTGATTAACAATAAGTGTTTTAGCACTATTAAGCGTTCGATAATATCTATATTGTGTACAATAAACTAATAAACAATATCAAAAACGAAAATACAGTGTTGATATTAATATCACATTGATGATATACAAACATAATGAATTTAAGTATTGTTTAAGTATCAATTAAAAATGTTTCATGAACTTTTAATATACAATGATAAATGTTACTCGTAACTGAAACATATTTAATGTACATGTTAATGAAATTAAATTAAAGTAAATTAAAATATATATACGTGTATTGAAATTTAATATACTTTTAATATATAGAGATAAATAATATTTCAATTCACTGTAAATTAAGTAAATTTTAATATTGGGTCATCTAAAAACCGCGGATACTTTTTAGATGACCCAATATATATTTTAAATTTTGGCGCCATAATTGTGCAACATACCCAACTGTTTTTACTGACTTCTAGACTGTTCTGGACACGCGCTTGTGTCACTTGTATTAAAGTTATGATCATCGTGCAAAGCTAAGTTTATTAGTACATATTGTGAAGTAAGTACAATGAAGTAAGTACAATGTAAGTATAATGTTGATTCTATTATACAATGAGTCGGTAGTTAATCTTATGTCGAATCCCGGTGAAGTTGGTCAACAGTCGACTTGTACGACTAAGACCATAATCGATTTTCTTAAATCTGGTCAAATTCGACTTTATTCCTTCTCATTAATCGAACTAAATGACTTGCTGTTAATTAATAGCTTGTAGATGTAAAAAATCATAATCATCTATGTAGGTTATGGCTGGTTAAAACTTGACATTTTTGACTACCGATTCATTGTAGAATCATTATACTCACATTGATGTACTTACATTCTTATACTCTTATACATATGTACACGATATATATCATATAGTGCATGCTTGTAATTCGCAGTGACTTTCTTGACACTGCGATATGCATGAAATCGCACGCACGCACGCACGCACGCACGCACGCACGCACGCACGCAACTCTCTAAATCTGAGGATATGTTTTGATATAAACTGACAGTACTAAAAAATTGTTCCGCAATCACTACGTAGTGAGCTGCGACAGCGTTTAGTTTCCTCAATAACGTCATAAATGGTAGCCATATTGCCACTGCGGCTACTGCAACTTTCGAAGTGAGGCAGTTACATTGCAATATGGCGTCTTAAAGAAGCACAATGCATAGAAATTTTCGATTCAGAAAATAAAAAAATATGTACAATATATATACAATATATATTTAAGTTCAAAAGATGCATATATATTCATTTTACTGAAAATGACTCTTAAATTTTACATCTGAGTATTCATTAATTGTGTCCATATAATTTTTAACATCAGGACGAACTGCTTGAATTGGTAATCTCATAATTAGTTCATCTTCTTCGGAAAAATCGCTGCTGCTTTCGCTTAAAATTTAGTGACAATTTAATGTGTCAGTTTACTATTACCGTTCCGTAATACGACGTTACAGTACTGCTGATAGTATCATAGTAATTTTGGAACGGCAGTGCACTGTTGTGACGTCATGATGGTTGCACTGCCAGTAGAAGGCACCCTGAATCAGGATAATCTACTGAAGTGGCATACTTGTACCGAATGATCAGCAAAGCATATTAGTATACTTGATACTGGATAATCAGTGAAATTCAACCATAAAAGAAAAGAAATTTGAATATTATATAATTAAAATATTTGAATGTTCTAACATACTGTAATTTCAATCTTACAATACTATATATATTGAATGCGCTGCACTTATATACTGAAACAAGGTTTGCCTAGATTAGGGATACCACGTTTAATTCGTTAATTAGCAGTGGCATATTTGACACTGAATTAGTGATTATCTACTGATTCAGATTTAGAGAGCAGACTCGATTTGTGTATTGAGATTGCTGTGGCGAAAGACAACGATTTCTATGTATTTTTCATATTTTACATTTTAATATATTTGTTTTCAGTATTAGTAATAATAATAATTTTTACATTAATAACTTTTTACATTAATAAATCAAATAAATAACCTTTTATCCGAATTAACATCCTTTTTTACACCTAAAAAACGACTGCCTTCTATCTCCAAAATAAATATCTTTTTTGAAACGCGTAACTATATCACTTTTTTTTAAAGTATATCAAGAATATTATGCTAAAACTGTATTTGAAAATATAAAGTTTAAAAATTGATAATATAAGTTTAAAGAATTATGATTTTTTTAAGTAAACATACTCTTTTTTCCGAAGTTAACATGTTTATGATTTTTGTTAGTGTTAAAATTAAATTTTTCACTACAAAGTCATTGTCTTATTTTCTTAAAGAATGAAATTATATTTTTTGAAGTCAATAGAACTGACATTATTGATTCGATAACAGTTCGGGTCATTTTAACTCAAAGTAACCATTGTGTGGCTTTCTTGAAGTGTGACCATGAAGAGTTAATTTACTAGTACTACTAATATTACTAATATTACTAATACTACATACCTCCCCAACAAGAATTTCCAAAGTGTAGACAGGTCTCTGCAATGATAATGAATGCATTATATAACATTGAATGAACAATTTTTGTAGTTATATTTCCATTTTGTTGTTAATATACAAGGATATCCAATAAAGATCGTAACAAAACTTAAAAGTAAGTTTCTGATATCATTTTAAGATGAAAATTCTAATACTAAAATATCGAGATTATAAGTTTTTGAATTAAAATAATTAATTAAAGGACTCAGAGCACAAGCAAGATATTCTTCGCTATTGTTATAAATTACTAAACATTATATTTAACTAATCAAATACAGACGCTTCAAGCTTCTATCTGGTCATTTTCAATGTTACAAATACAGTCTACAGTAAACAATTATTATATAATGGCATACTAAAAATTCTAGAAAAGTCTCGCTTATAATATTAAAAATCTCAATCCTGAAGTAACAACGTGTGCAATCCGAAAACCTTGATATGACCACAAGAAGTTATAAAATCTTATCTTAAGGGGATGGTGGAGTGTCCTGTTTTATCATTAAATATTAAAAACTCTTTTCTCTTAATTGTGTTTATGGATTGAAAAATCCTTCTCCACAATTAAAGTATCGACAACAACGCAATTCGCCAGCTACATTTAAATACGAAAAACGAAAGAAAATTGAAGACTTACAGTTTTGTTATCGGCTTCTGTAGTCAACACATCACAATATGTGCTACATATAAGAGTTTCAGATCTTGCACGTTCATAAAAAATAGCTGACGAATTGCGGAAAACCTAAATGAACAATCCTATGCTTTTAGAAACGCGGTAGAAGTTTTAGTATAAGAGAAAAGAATATCCGAAAATTTTGTATATTACAAGTGAAATTGACGTGAAGCCATGAAACTAAGCAGTATTTTAGTTCCGCGATATTCCGACAGCGGCGCTGTCATGAAAAGTGCAACGCTGAACCATAGAAATGATCTGAATTATCGACCTACTCAGGCCCATATCAATAAACGTGCCCTGGTCAAAGTTTTTTCTTTTGAGAAGAAAAATAATAATAAAATAAATATGATATTAGTTATTTCAATTTTGTTGAAATAATTTCTTCCTAAACAAGAAACATACTATATTATTTACATATGAATAGAAATGAAAATAATTATTTTAATTACACTGTTCTGTCTTTTACATACATTTTATTTAGTAAATTATTGATGCATATATATAAAATAACATATATAAACAATATATATATATATGTATATGTATGTGTATGTATATATATATATATATATATATATGTGTGTATAATAGCGTACATACACACGCGTGTGCGTATGTATGCGTGCAGGCGCGTGTATGTGTGTGTGTGTGTGTGTGTACATATATACAACACATGTCTAAACTTTATTTACTGAATTATTTATACATGCATATATCAAAATTCGGAACGCGATGTGTGTTTCGATTGAGCTTCCATTCTGCTCGGATGTGGAACGACAAGCGACAATCTCATAGCAGACGTAGCATATAAATGAAATTTTCGAATACTCATTGCTCTTACCAGGTGTATGCATAAGTTTTTTCAGGTTTAACTAAGAGATGGCGCCAGTGAAAAGTACGCAGCGTATTAATTTGACACATACGCCATTTTGTTCGTCTGACATTTAACTACAAACACACACAAGTTGAGTCCGTCAAAAACTAGCGTC